ATTAAATGGTACATAAAAAATATAATGCAGCCATCAAATATAATTGCAAGCGCTTTCAATTATGTAGGAAAATGCTTACAAAATAATATCAATCCAAAATAGCATAATATGAAATTGTCTTTATAGGATACTCTCAATATATATGTGCATGAAATGACTGAAAAAAATATCCTAAAGTATTAACAGTAATTGTCTCTACACAGCAGTATTATGGGTGATTATTACTTCCTTCTTAATGCATTTCTGTATTTTCCAAAATTTCCACAATATGTTTTCCAAAAAAATCTTTTGGAAAAATATTCTGAAATAATAACAGAGAGTATAATTCAAGGTCACAGTAATACATTATTTTTAAAATAATAATGAATGTGAGGTGATGGACATGCTAACTAACCTTACTGTGATAATCATTTCACAGTAAATATATGTGTCCAATCATCACCTTGTATACCTTAAACTTCACGATGTTGTCCATCAATTATACCTCAATAAAGCTGGAAAAAATAAAAATAATAATGACATTACAAATCAATTTAGGAAAACTCAAAATAGCACTTAGAATAAAATTTATACTTTGAGCCTACAGCAATAAAAATAAAGAGGAAATCACTATATACACACACAATGTATAAACGAATTTTATTTAGGAATATATAGATGTATATACTTATAATGAAAGTTACCAAATAGGAAAAAAAGACATTTAAAGAACATATGCTATAATCAAGTGGAGTTTACTCAGAATTTAAGGCTGTTTTAATATCGTGAAAAACATTAACGTAATACTAAGTAATTTAAATGATAAAAATTATAATTATATCAAAAGATACCAATTCCTATTAAAAGCTTCTAACAAACAATGGAAGAAATTACTTCCCTTATTGAACAGAGAACATTTGTTTCAAGCCAATAATTAACTTTGTATCTAATGAAGAAATATCAAAAAATATCGTTTTATCACAATTTTATTTAACACAAAAAAACAAAATAGAAATACATAATACAAATATTTTTGCAGCTATGATTTCATATTTAGAAAAAACAAATAGGCCATCTAATACAGTTAGAACAAAGACAATTCACCAAAAGACAAATATTTTAAAAATAGGATTCTAATGATAGAGATTCTCAGACTGAGCAGCAATACAGATATATTTAGCCAAGAAAGAATTCATATAATAAGGGATATATAAGACCTACACAAAAACAAGAACAAATTATAATGAAAGAAATCAAGAAATATCAGTAATGGAGAGACTTAATTCCTTAATGAAAAGAACTGATATCATGAATATAAGTCTTAAAGAGTTAATTTTAGACCTGGACAATTCAAACTGAAGCACCAAAAAGATGTTTGCCTTATATAACACATTCCTTAGGGGAAAAAAAGATTTTTTGAATATTAAAAATATATATGTGGGGAGAAGGGGCCAGCCTGGTGGCCTAGTGGTTAAGTTCGTGCGTTCCACTTCAGCTGCCCAGGGTTTGTGGGTTTGGATCCCTGGCACGGACCTATATACCACTCATCAAGCCATGCTGTGGTGGCATCCTTCATAGAAAATAGAGGAAGACAGGCACAGATGTTAGTTCAGCGACCATCTTCCTCAAGCAAAAAGAGGAAGATTGGCAACGGATGTTAGCTCAGGGCCGATCTTCCAAAAAACAACAACAACAACAACAACAACAACAACAACAACAAAAAGATATATATATATATTTTGGGGGAGAAAAAAGAACAACAAAAACCCATATACTGATTCAATGGATTCAAATGCAGAGTTTAATTCATTATATGGCAAAAAATATTTAACTACCAAGTGTTAGAACTACCAAGAATTTTTTTTTTCTCAAAGCTAGGGAATAAAAACACAAAGCATTGAATTATAACGTGGTAAGTGCTATGCTAGAGCTTTGAGAGCGCTGAGAGAGCCGCCTCTCTTGGGGTCAGGGAAGGCTAAACTGCATTTTAAAGAATCTCATTTTGCCAGGTTGTGAGGCACAAGGAGGGAAGGAGTGGCACTTGGAGGGAGCATCATTACAAACACAGAGTCACAGATAAAAGGGCACATTCCAGAAATTGCAGGTAGGTCAGACATACAATATTGGTCTGCATTTTAAAAACTCAATTAAAAGTCAATATTTAAAAGCCAGAAAATTTCTCATAAATATCTGGATTTCTGGCTTCTTTTGACGAATTGGACAACATGACAAACTGGGCTGCATTCCATGGAAACAAGAGGCAGATACCCCTTTTAGACAGGATAGCTTGCCACAGCACTTCCTCTCTTCCTCCATTCCTCTTACAGCCAGCTCACTGCATCCATTTAGCTCACCTTTCTGTTCCCTGTAGGCATTTGAGTTTATGACTTCTACTCCATGTGATGGGGACCAATGAAGGTTACGGCAGTCACAGCAATATGATTAGGCTTGCACATCAAAAGATCAACCAGGCAGCAAGGTGGAAGGCAGGGGGAGAGCAGGGAGGTTAGGAGATCAAGGAAATGCACAAAAGCCTACTATGTTAAAAATTAAAATGGGGCCACCATCACTGAAGTAGAGCAGAGGGCCACCTAGTACCTCCTACAAAAAAACTCTTGCAAGACGACTTGAAAACCACTTATGCATCTGTGAAATAAACGCGAGAGGTGATGAGGTTTTGAAACAAGGTTGTGTGTAGGAGATGGAAAGAAAGGGGCAGAGAAGGATAAAAATTCGAGAGATTTTTGAGGAGAAAAAAATCTCCAACACTGGGTAACCAGTTTAACCCAGGGAACAAGGAGAAAGAAGAGCATAGGACAATTTGCAGGGTTTTGGCTTAAGTCATGAGGAGGAACAAATCTGGAGGAAAGTTAATTGTTTAGTTTAGGATATGCTGGATTTGTGGAGGCTACAGATGTGCAGCTTCATCTCATAAGCCCCAATAGACTGCCAAAGAAAACTCATCTCCAACTCAAAGAGAATAACTCTCTAACAGCTGAATCATCAGACAAAAATAAGAGACAGGTATGATTATATAAAATATTTTTTATGGAATGAACACCAATAGAACTAAGATTAAAATGGAATATTATAGAATTGAATAAAATATTGCAAAAAAGATTACAGAGGGTCAATAACTTCATATATAAAAGCATAATTATAAGATATATAAAAAGCATACAATAATGTAAAAGTGTGCAAAGCCTCTTAATGTGAAGGATATGGATTTACACGCTACACTGTTTCCATTAAGGATTTAAGATGGCTTATAACAAAAATATACATAGTAAAAGGATAAAATGTAAATAATAATAGTAAAATGTAAAAATAATTTTTTTAAAAATTAGCACCAGGAGAAATCAGAACTAGGAAAAAAGAAACAAGATGTGCAGAACACAAGGGCTTTCAGAAATACTGTTGTTGACAAGGTGAAAAGATTAACATAAGTTGCGTGACTCTTATTGTCCCTTAGGAGAAAACACAGCAATTTCTCACTTTAAAAAGGACATTTCTGCACAATAGAAAAGATAGTATTTCACAATAAAAAATTTTCTAAGTTAAATAAATTTAGCTTTACGAAAAACTCACTACCTTGTCCCTATTTCTCAAATGTTATGTTATTGCAGGGCAGTTAAAATTTTTTTAAAAACACTTAACATAATGACATCTGGGGATATTACTACAGCAAACACAAGAAAGGATTTCATAAAACTGCTTCTCTGTGGCACCCCTTGATGAAAACAAAGAACCAAACATCTCAGTACAATTTGATAAAGACAGCTGGGTGGGTGGGCGCAGAGAGAAGAGAGGAAGGGGAGAGTCAACATGATATGGGTGAGGTATATAGATTTCTGATGGTCCATCTTGATCCACAGAAAGAACAGATACAACTTTGAGGAATGGATGAACCACACATCCTTCAAACTACAGCAATGTGGGCTTTGGTAAAAGCTTAATATGAGATGGAGAGTAGACAGTGAGGTAGAAATCTCTGGGAAGCACCCAAAAGTTATATACTCGGTGGTGCTGGGTGAGGATGGATCCACAAGAATTGGCTATCACATGAGCACAGCACAGATGACATCCTCTCATGAAAATTAAGGAGCCTAATCAAAGGCCACCCCACACCAGCAGAGCAGAGCTCCAGTAAGTAAGGGGCATGGACAAAACTCATGAAATAAAGACATACAGAAAGCAGACACACAGAAAAATATTTACCTGCACATATATGTAAAGAAATGGAAATCAAAAGATAGTATCAGGCCGGCCTGGTGGCTTAGCGGTTGGGTGCACGCGCTCCGCTACTGGCGGCCCGGGTTCAGATAACCCGGGCGCACACTGACGCACCGCTTCTCCAGCCATGCTGGGGCTGCGTCCCACATACAGCAACTAGAAGGATGTGCAGCTGTGACATGCAGCTATCTACTGGGGCTTTGGGGAAGAAAAAGGAAGAGGATTGGCAATGGATGTTGGCTCAGAGCCGGTCTTCCTCAGCAAAAAAAAGAGGAACGTTGGCACAGATGCTGGCTTGGGGCTGATCTTCCTCACAAAAAAAATAAAATAAAAAATTATAAAAAAAAAAAAAAAGATAGTATCATTTAGCAACTATAAGCTAAGAAAAAGTAAAGAATAACTTTAAAAATTCAATATTGTGTAGATTTTAAGAATTATATTCAAAATTTGTTAGAGAGAATCAAAATACCCCAAAATAAGGGAAATGGTTAAGTATGATATATTAGTGTATTTGTGCATAAAAATGATTATGCATAATCATATGCATATGCATAATGTTCATGCATAATGAGCGTGAACAAATATGGAAAGATGCTTATGGAATATCAGGTAAAAAAATAAAGAGTATGAAGTGTACATACTCTATGAATACCACAATACATTGTGTAAATGTATAAATGTGTGTGTGTAAATGTAACCTGTGTATATGGAAAAACACTTGGCTGGGTCACAGAACAAGTCAGCAGAAACCCGCCCCTTTCAGAGGCCCCGCCAGCCAGCTGGGGAAAGCTGCAGGCAGAAGCTGCCATCTCCAGGATCTGCCCTGGACTGACCCCATCTGCACTCACGTTTTTCCCTCTCTTTGCCCGCTCAATGTCCAACCTCATCCCCAACCTCCTATCCCCAATTTTATCCTCCCAATCTGACATCTTCTCCTTTTCCATCTTCTTTAATTCTCCAACAACCTGGGAGGTAGGTCTTATCAAGACCATTACAAATAAACGATTAAATGAATAAATGGTTACAAATTAAAGCTCAACGGAAAGCTTCGTTTTCAGACCTTCCAACTGGACAAGCTTCTTCTTGTTTCACTGACGTCCACTAAGGTTTACCTGCGCACGGCTTCTTGGCCAACTGAGCAGGGACAGAAACCGGAGGACTGGCTTCTGCAGCCCCAGCTACGCATACTCCTTGTTCCTCAAGGCCCTGTGACTGCTCAGCAGAAGAAGCTGAAATATCTAAAAACAAGAACAAAGAGATGAGGTTTCCTAAGACAATGCTTTTATCACTCTAAATTTCATTTTATGTTGGAAACATCAGCCCAGCTAATCAGATCTCAGACAAAACTCCCAACACTCTGGATTTGAAGCATTCGTGCCTTCTGGATTAAAAAGAAAAGTATAGATCTATCTATCTATCTCAACAGCAAGCAGAAAGTCACTATTTCAATAGTAAGAATAGGAGAGACTCATTAAACAAGACCAGAGGAAGATAATGACAGGCCCTTAATATAGTACAGCCTAGAAGGTTCTTGCCACCATACATGGTTCCCCAGATAGCCTTGGACACTGGCATATGCAGACCCCTCCTTACCTTCAAACCACCTGCTCATAAAGTCAGCCACTACCATCCCAACATAAGAAAATCCATCTCAAAAGCTTAAAGACTCTGACTTTAGTGATATGGTTTTCCCATCAGCAATTCTCCTAATCCCACAACCCACTAAAACTGATTTTCAGCTACAAGCAAATGTAATAAGTAGCGTGAGTGCATTCTAATTGAAAGAACACCAAACCACACTTTGTAGACCTTAAGAAATGAGTTAGACTATGTATCAATATGGGAAGATATTTATGATGTTGTATAAAGTGAAAATGTAAGATACTAGGCGCCGGCCCAGTGGCGCAGGCGGTTAAGTGCGCATGCTCTGCTGCGGCGGCCCGCGGTTCGCCGGTTCGGGTCCCGGGCACGCACCAATGCACCGCTGTCAGACCATGATGTGGCAGCGTCCCATATAAAGTGGAGGAAGATGGGCATGGATGTTAGTCCAGGGCTGATCTTCCTCACAAAAAAAAATGTAAGATACTAAACTAATGCATACTTTGACCACAACTGGACTAGTACTTGTATAATAACAGGACTGAAGGGCCTACAATTAAATGGTAACAATTATTGTGGATCAGAGAGAGCAGAGTCATATGCAGTTTTTATTTCTACTCTCTATTTTCCAAATTTTTCTGTAATGTGGTTAAAATTTCCTAAAAATTAAAAAAGAAAAGACTGTAATTCAATTTAATGAAAGAAAGCCATCCCTGCATTATGCTTACTTTTTTAGTCACCAGCCCATCTCCCTCTTCTTTTTTCCTAACAAAGCTGTTAAGACTGTTCTACCTACTTCCAGACCCCCAACTTACTGAGGAGCTACTTGCGCAGATGCCAGTAGCTGGCAGCACTGAAAGTAAGCTCCATCTCTTCCCCTTGGTCAGAATCACAGCTCCATATCATAAAATGTTGACTGTCCTAAGCTTCCCCAAGGACAGAGGAGCACATATGAAGTGCTTTCTCCCCAGACTCACTTGCAAGTCAAAACTACATGGTTGATAGTGCTCTGTCTCCCTCTGATATGCTCACCTTTATTTTCGAGCATCTTGTGCAGCTTCATGTGCCTGTAGGTAGAGATTATCTGAAAATTAACAATACTCGGAATATTCAGTCCTTGGTCTTGCAGCAGCTTCAGGGCCGAAGCATGAATGAGCTGATGGGACCGTTTGCATTTCTGAAGTTTGCACTCTCCCCTGACAAAGGACTTGCACACGTGGAACTTGTTGCATTTATCCTTGAGGTTGCAGTAACCATACAGCGCTTCACCTTTGTTGTAGAGTAAACAGACCTGGTATAGAAATGAGGCAACACTTAAAACATTTGTTTTCCCTCTAGCCTTTAAACCAATAAATGACAGCTTCTCTAAATGGCAACTTGTGGTCATCAACTGCTGTTAAACTCAACGGATGAAGGGCGGCTGGGTAGTGTAATCGTACCCCCACCCAGATCTCCCCCAGCTGCCACTAATGCACAGCTGCCCCTCTCTGACCTTGACCCTCAGTTGACGCACCCTCCTCTCCCACACCCTGTAGCCAATGAGTGAATTCTATGCAGGTACAAAAGGCTGGCCCCCTTGCCTCAAGGCTAGAACAATTCTTCAGTGTAATTTCTGCTCCAGAGCCCTGCCAGGAAGCAAGACAAGGTCAGACTTTACCCTGCTTGTAGCTTTTCCCTCCTTGTATCCTGATTCCCTCTTTTATATACCTTACAGAATTTACCCGAGGAGCCCTCCTTCCATAAATCACATGCACCTAAATCCCCAAGTCAGGATCTGCTTCCAGGGAAACCAACCTACACAGGTAGCATGAGCAGAAATTTATCATCCAAACAAGAGCATTTTTTAGGGAGCACTATTAGTAATTACATTGGGACAACTAACGTAAACTGGGTCTGTCCCAAGCAAACCAAGAGCCTCCTGATGGAGAACTTTATAATGATGGATCAGCCTGTCAACCCTAAAACCACTAATCAATCTTAACCTCACACACAAAAAAGATGACAAGACATTGTGTACCTCCTAATGTGATACAATAGGAAACATAGCTGTTTAGGTTTTAGCATGATTCTGACATTGCTGGAAAACCCCCAGTCCCAGGCAAGCGGGGACAGTTAGTCACCCTAACAATGCACCACACATACAAAAAATTCTTGCTACAAAAATTGAACCTAAAGCCAATCAAACCTCCAGCTCTAACTATCAATTCACAGAAAGTTCAGTGGGTAGAGGAACATATTAAATGATATTAGAGGAATGCAATCAGTCAAACCTAAAAATTCTACTGGACACAAATCACCCGGTTTAAAGCAAAATGGTATCCTACCTATAACTGTGACACCCATTTTCTAAAACGAATTCATAATTTTAGAGCAATTCCTACTTCCCCTAAAGAATTCCTATAAAATAGTTTTGAAATTTAAATGATTCTAAAACTTATCTGAAAAAGAAAAAAAGAACTGATTAAAGAAAAAAATTGAAAAAGAGTAATGGGTGTCCACTTGTGCCATCATATATCAAAACATAAACTACTTTAATTCAACTAGTACGACACTAGTTCAAGAATGTACAGGAGATCAAGGAAAACAGATCCTAGACCTAGCACCCAAATCATAATCATCTATTCCTTAAAGATTTGTTAGAGCTGAAAGAAAAACTAGATGAGCCTAATGTTTTCTTGTAGAAGACTTTTAACTAACACTCTGGTTTTGTGGGTTTTTTAATTTTTAATTTTAATAATTTTATTTTTAAAAAAAACTATTCTGGCTATTTCTTCTTGAATCAGTTTTGATGAGCTATATTTTTCTAGAAATTTGTCCATTTCATGTAAGTTTTCAAATGTATCAGCATAGCTTTTTCCATATTTCCAGAGTGTGTGTTTTCCAACACTACCCAGCAATTCTCAGCAGATACTGACCAGGTATCCCACAAATTTAACTCAATTCTGAGACTATCTCCAGGTCTATCTCCCAGATAATACAAATACTAGATCCCACAGGTTAAGGGGTCAGTCCCACAAGACTGCACCCACTTCAGATGTCAACTCCAAGTCCAGGTTGTCACCTGTGCTTCTGACCTACCAGCTAGAGATGGGAAGTTCCCACAACCCCTTTCTTGGGTTCAATTAATTTGCTAGAAAGGCTTACAGAACTCAAGAGAAACATTTTTACTTACTAGAATACCAGTTTATTATAAAAGGATATAACTCAGGAACAGCCAGATGGAAGAGATGGATAGGGCAAGGTGTGTGGGAAGAGGCACTGAGATTCCATGCTCTCTGAGCACTCCACTCTCCCAGCACCTCCACGTGTTCACCAACCCGGAAGCTCTCTGAAACTCATCCTTTTGGGTTTTTATGGAGGCTTCATTACATAGGTATGACTGATTAAGTCGTTGGTCATTGGTAACTGAACTAAATCTTAGGGTCCAGCCCCGTGGCTTAGCGGTTAAGTGCGCACGCTCCGCTACTGGCGGCCCCAGGTTCAGATCCCGGGTGCGCATGGACGCACCCCTTGTCCGGCCATCCTGAGGCGGCGTCCCACATACAGCAACTAGCAGGATGTGCAACTATGACATACAACTATCTACTGGGGCTTTGGGGAGGAAAAGGGAGAAAAAAAAAAGGAGGAGGATTGGCAATGGATGTTAGCTCAGGGCCGGTCTTCCTCAGCAAAAAAAGAGGAGGATTGGCATGGATGTTAGCTCAGGGCTGATCTTCCTCACAAAAACAAACAAATAAATAAAATAAAAATAAAAATAAACTAAATCTTAGCCCCTCTCCCCTCCAGGAGGTGGGGGGTGGGACTGAAAGTTTCAACCCTCTAATTACATGATTGGTTCTCCTGGCTTCCAGCTCCCATCCTTAGGTGACTTAGGGGCTTTCCAAAAGTCACCTCATCAACATAACAAAAAGTCTTTATCATTCGAAACACTTAGGAAATTTTAGGAGCTCTGTACTAGGAAAAGGGATGAAGACCAAATATAGATTTCCTATTATAAATCACAATATTTGTCCCTCATTGATTTCTTATTGTGTATTACATCCGTTATTATGTACTGTATCGTTAGGTGTGTGATAAAAAGGGATCATCAGGCATTTTCACACACGAGTTGTGAGGTACCATTTGTGCCTCATCCGGTGTGATCATCTATGGTCCCTGCTGTCCAAGTGGCCATGTTTTGCGCCACATGACACACACCTCCAGTCTCAGCTGATAGGACCAGGGGTGGGCTCCTGTCCTAACTGCAGCCAACCCGCTGGCTGCTCACAGAACACTGAAGTAGTCTAATATGACAAGAAGAGGCTGGATCCAGGATATCTGGGTAGAAGTCATAAAGAAAAAGATTCGATAGGTTTAACAACATAAAAACATTAAACTTCTATAAGACAGAAAATTTCATAAAAACTAAAAGGTGGGGCTGGCCTGGTGACATAGTGGTTAGGTTTGCATGCTCCACTTCGGTGGCCCAGGGTTCACAGGTTCAGATCCTGGGCGCGGACCTACACACCGCTCATCACGCCATGCTGAGGTGGTGTCCCACATACAAAATAGAGGAAGATTGGCACGATGTTAACTCAGCGACAATCTTCCTCAAGTGAAAAAGAGAAAGATTGGCAACAGATGTTAGCTCAGGACCAATCTTCCTCACCAAAAAAAAAAAAAAACCTAAAAGGTAAACAGAGGTTGCACTGCCCCTTCCCTCTGAGAGAGGAAGGAGTGGACCCTGCCTCATAGCTGCTGCCATCCTCCTCTCCCTTCCTGTCAATCACCTGCTCCAGCTGCTGCTTGGATGACATCTGGCAACATGGTTGGACTGTATCTGGCTCATAACCATGACATACCAAACCTGGTTTCAAAACTTGAAGAAATTAGAAAGGAGATGGATGCCAAGAAGAAACCTCTTGGCTCCTAAGGCTGACTCCAGTGCTGCCTTCTAGGTACAGACTCTGCTGCCTTGAGGGCAGCTTCTGCCATCTGAACCAAAGGCTCCCGTTCACACCTCCAGCCTGGTCTTTCTTCCCTTCTAGACTCTGAAAGACTTTAGAGTTAAAAAGGGACCACAATCAGGAACTACCCTCTATGTTCCCAACATCTTCCCTTTTCTCCACCTCTCTTCCAGCATCTTGAGAATGTAAGTGGGCCCTGGAGGACCAGTTCAACTAACCCCATCTTATCAACAGAGTAATTAAGGGTGTTTTTTTAGGAACTAAGACCCCTTGTCCAGTTCAAGCCGGTGGAGACCACCAACCCATCAACTGGGCCTACGCAAATGCTCCATAAACAACTTTTTGGACGTCAAGGAGCTAAAAACCCCACCCTCAGATCATGGTAATGCCGCCACCATTTTGTGAACATGCATCCTATGAAGAGGCATGAAGCTTGACTACACTTGTGCAGATCATCAATTACCTCACTCCTCCTTACTTCCAGTCATCTATCTCCACACTTCAGACTGCCCTGCCCTTTATCCCATAAATTGTGCCGCAAGCTCTGGATCAGGGACACAGATCTGAGAGCATATGCCCCGTCTCCTTGCAGATCAATCTTGCAGTATAAAGCTGATTTCTTTCCCCACAAGCTGATGTCATAATAACTGGCTTTTTTTTTTAAAACTCACTGGGCAAGAGAACCCCAATTTTGTGCAGTAACAAGAATGACTATGATGGGGTCGGCCCAGTGGCGTAGTGGTTAAGTTCGCTTGCTCCGCTTTAGTGGCCCGGGGTTTGCGGGTTCGGATCCCAGGCGCAGACCTACACATCACTCATCAAGCCATGCTGTGGCAGCGTCTCACATACAAAATAGAGGAAGATTGGCACAGATGTTAGCTCAGGACCAATCTTCCTCAAGCAAAAAGAGGAAGATTGGCAACAGATGCTAGCTCAGGGCCAGTCTTCCTCACCAAAAACAAACAAATAAACAAACAAACAAAAAGAATGACTATGGTAGAATCATTGTGCTAGATTAGAAAATCCTACTTTTAATTGGTACTCTTGTAATATCTTCTTTTGGGGTTCCAACTATTTTCTTTAAAAAAATTCTTGTGTACAGCTAAACAGATACAAACATGATAATTTTGCCATTATAGCAGTTACAATGTGTACTTTTTAAGCATCTGGAACTAAATCATGTTGTTTCAAAGCAATTAAAATTAATATCTAAAGCCCAAAAAAAGTAAATGAGGAGAATACTTGTAACAAATGTGACCAAAAACAGGGATTTGTATAATTAAAGACATGATAACCTAAAAGGAAAAGACAAATGCCTCAATAGAAAATCAGGCAAAAGCATAAACAGGCAATTCACAAAACACAGGCTTCATAGTCAGACAGACTTAAATTCAAATCTGCCATTTATTATATGAGCTTGGGCAAGTTATTTAATCTCTCTGAGCCTCTGCTTCCTCACCTGTAAAATGGGGAGAGGAATATCTCACTCACAGGTTATTAACCAGCTAAGGTATATGAATTGCTTAGCATTCAGTAAGCATCAAAAAACCAGTAGCCATTGTTATTTCTATACCACACAGGTCCATCACTCCCTGTGTGTATCAAAGTTCGATAAAATCAGAGATTCCAGAAAAGTCAGCACTGTCCTATAACCCGCGACCCCATACAACCTCAGGCTGTCCTCTGCAAGCAGACTTCTGATGTTCTCCCCTGACTTCTGTCAGGGTGCAGGCAATATGAGGGTGACTTCTTGGTGACTCACCTCTGGTAAAAGGCAGGGGTCGTTCTGCAAAAGCAGGATCCGAAGCTGGGCCTCATTCAGGCCAAAAAGTCCGTGGTTTTTCAGGACTTGGATGTTGACAGGCGTGTGGATGTCATGGGAAAGGGTGCAGGTAGACCTGGGAGAACACAAAGCTCTGATCAGAGGCCCAGGGGCAGGGGACGGTCTGTCAGATTCCTGCCCGCGGGCCGCTTTCAACTTGTTTTTAAACAATTTCCGTGAACCACAGATACTGCAGCCGAATAAGCTCTGATTATGGGAAGGCGGGGTTGAAGCAACTCCCGTCCCAGGGTCATTTTCGTTTTAAATGAGGACGCCTCAAAACCAAGGATACCCCCTCCCCCAGTCACCTGCCTTGACTGAGGGTGCCCACCAGTTCTGTGGGTGACTGCACTGGCCTTCTCCGCCCCAAACAAGTGCCCACCCCCCACCCCCGCCCACCAACGTTAAAAAGAACGCCAGCGCCCAGTCCCGCTTTGGGGGCTGGAGTAAACCCAAGAAGACTGCAGGCTGGAGGCGCCTCAACGAGCTCGCCCAAGTCATCCGCCCTCAGTTTCCCGGGGTCTCCCTTCCGTAAAACTGTGTGCTTATGTGGGAAAGGCAATCTCTGCATAAAGAGGCCATGGACCTCGTGGGACCCGCAAGTGCCCCCAAAAGGACCACTGGATTAAATGAACTCAAAAGTCCCCATTCTGCTTTGTCCCGGCCATTGCTGTGCAGGATCCCGGGGGCAGGAGCTGCCATTTTTTTGGCGAGGGGTGGTTAAGCAAGCCAGATTGCGACGACCCTCCGCCTCATTCTGCGCCGGAGCGGGGCGCGCAGGGGCGGCCTCCCTCGGAGGATCCTGAGGGGCCCCTTCCCGCGGCTTCTCTTCCGCCCTTTCGGAGGGGGTCGTCCAGCCTCCGGACGAACGGCCCCTTTTCTCGTTGCTGTGGGCTCCTGCTTCCAGCCGGACAGGCCAGGCCCGCGACCCCCGCGCGGGGATCGCGCCGCCGCCGCCGCCC